GAAAGGTAAAGGAAGAAGAGAGGGATAGGAGAGAAGGCAAGGGGGCAGAGGAGGAGAGAAATGAGGAGTGGTAAGGGGAGGGAGGAGAAGGAGAGAGGAAGGGGAAATTGAGAAGAGATGGATGACAGAGGGAAGAAAGAAGAGAGGGAGGGGGAGGAGAGAGGGAGAAGAAAGTGATGGACAAAGTACAAATATGGTGTATGGAGAGCAGAAGAGCCAATAATTGGTTTTGGGGAATTGTTGGTAAGATGAATTGATGTAAACATTTAATAATACAATATGATGTTGGTTATGTAATAGTATACATGTGATTATATGTTATGAAAATGGGGAAAAAACTCCAATAAAAAAAAGAAAGTGTCCACTCTGCTTTTTTTATCTCTTCAGATTTAAAATAATGAAAAGATAGTAGAAATAACATCAACATATACAGTTTCTCAAAATGCAGCACATAAAGGATTTTAAACAACTGGGTCAGTTTAAACATCAGCACAGCATGACATTATTAAAGGCATGGTAGAAAAGAAACCTTTCCTGCTCTTCAAACTCAAGGGATGGAGACAAATAAATCCCTTTTAGGGGCAAGTTCAACTGGAATAACTTTCTAAAGGTGGGAACTAGCTTCATGCCTGGAAAAAACATTCCTTCAAAGGAATAAGAACAGGTTCACACACAGTCAGACTACAAATGTGTGTATGCTGTCTTCTCCCCGATTTATTTGCTCACAATTTGAGATCTGGTTGTTTGGTTCTTCATACTATCTGCCATGCTTGTTTTTCTGCAGACATTTTATTATGAAGCTAAGCATCATCATTGTAACACCTTTGGTTTTTCATACTTCCAGGCACTAATTATATTACTCAGCCTAACCACAAAATATCTGCAGGAAAACAGCTCAGAGAACATCAAAAATCCAACAGTTGAACAGAGTGACATATATTCTCTAAAGGAAGTCTATTTGCTTGAGATCTAGATATTAGGCATTACTCTGAGTCTTCTAGTCCTCCATGATGAGAATCTAGTGTTACAGAGAGAGCCTTTTAAGTGATGATCTGCCTGTGAATAGGCTTCCAAAGAACATATTCACATGTTCCCTTGCTATCATTTTGGAACCATGCAACATCCTTATTTTCCTAGTTTTATTTTAACATTGGCAACTTTTAAAGCTTAAGAGTTTTCTAAATTGATAATAGCCTTCATTAACTAAGGTTTATACAGCAATATGCTGGTTTTCTATTATTGTCTGGAATGCTTTTTTATGATGTGTACAATACATTTTTATATATGCAAATTTGGAGATTTTAAGTTAATTCCTAAAATGGTTAATGCTCGGTTAAAAACTTGGTTAAAAAGAAGGGATAAAGCTTCAATATCCCAATATCTATAATCATGCCAGCTTATCTTTGTGTAAAATCTTTGTGACCTTTAACAACTCACCAAAATTTTAACACTCACCTATTTTATATTCTGGTTCAATATGATATAACTTTAAATCAGCTATTTGCCAAGTAGTGTGCTTTAGGCAAGGACGAGCAAGAACAAAAAAAGAATTTTAAAAAAAGAATAAATAGATCAGTGGAATCAAAAAGGATACATCTAATTCACTCTGTAAAAAAAAATAAAAAAAATTAGCAAGAGAATAGAGCTATTATTGTTTTGCTATTTATCTCTAAAACTGATTTGTATATTAGTTTGCAAGCAAATTCTAAATTCCTTCAATTTGCAAAAAGGTTTTCAATCTAGCAGAAACTTTTTCAAGAAAAATAAATGTGACTTTTTTATCATTTTCTTCTGCTGCCACCTCTTATGACCCCAGAAGCTCATCTCTTGTCATTTCTTCCAATGGAATGGAATAGTTATTTTTATTATTCAAGTAAAAGTTGAATCTCAGAATGCTGACTACGTTTAAACCCAGAGGGCATAATTGATCCCTATGCTATTCCTCAATTTAACAACTGCAAGTGATTTTTGAGCATAAGTGGATAAAGAGGAAGATGATGGATGCAAAAGGAAAATCAAATTCTAAAAGAAAAAAAATGAATGGGACTTAAGAAAATGATGAGTTTTACTCCCAAGTTCAGCTTTGAACATATTCATTTTCCATTTGCCTAACTGATATATGGAAATTCTACAATTCCAAATGGTTATTTTCTAAACCAAATAACTTTGTACCTCTATTGCAACATTAGAAAGAACTCAAAAGCTAATGTCTTTTTAATGTCTATATTTTCTATATTTGTTAATGTGTTCTGCAGAGATGAGCTGCTAAAAACAATAACATTATATTTTGCCCATGTCAATCTGCATGTCAAAGATTATTATATGCAAAATGCATTACATAAATTCAGCAGCCATATAAGGAGTACCTTACACTTACAGTAATTTGAAAATCTGCAAATCTCATTCCAAAAATCTTCCCCTACTTTGTGATTATAGATCATTTATCAGAGAATAGACAATTCACAATGTGTTCTCTTATTAAAAATAGTACAATTGCATTAGCAATAGCAATCTACAGCAATTGGTCTTACCTCTCACTTTGTTAAACCAGAAAGGATGAAGAGTAAAATAGACTACATTTTACATAGTCTATTTCAGTGCTTCTCAACCTTGGCAGCTTCAAGATAGGTGGACTTGAGCTCCCAGAATCCCCCAGCCAGTATATCACTTATGAATTAAAATTGAATTTAAAAGATCTGTCTACAATTTAAAGAGATTTGGATATATGGGAATGGAACCCAAATCCTCACTCTCATGTCATCATAAACCTGATAGTTTAATTAATCCACAAATAAATTCATAGAAATGTTAATATGGACAAACTATTACTTTCTCTAATAATCTCCTCACATTATTACTTTTGATTACTTAAAGCATTTTGGTATAAGGTATTTCTCATGCACAAACTGCATTTACGGCGTGTCCTATTTTTCAACTTTCAACTTCCAAACATTAGGGGTGCTCAAAAGTTGTGATGTGCCTTAGGGATTGTAAAGGTCTTTTGGTGACTTTAACATAATGTAGATGTGCTTGGTAAGTAACTCTATAAATATCACAACTTTTTAACATTTTGTTTGTTTCATTTGTGCATAATGCATAAACAGCATTCTCCAAAAATGAATCATGGAAAAAATCTTGCTTGGAAGGCACTTGAGGCACATATAAGTATACTGTACAGCTGATAGAGCATACTCATGTTTTGTAGGTCATGATCTAATGATGAAGGCTGGACAGCCAACTGGTACTGTGAGAAGAAAAAAGTGCCCTACGCATAACCTAAAGTTTCCATATTCATGACTGTTCCCATGCATTTCATTAGAATTATGCCCTATACAAAGAAATATTACATGGCCTTCAGGCTGACTGTTCACAGTACAATTACACTTGCTAAATTCATACTTACCACTCTGCTGAAATACTTGTCCAAAACCTCAACAAAATTATGAATCAGTTCAAATACAGCCATCTCATTCTGAAATTAAGTTCAAACACACTTTAAAAAGGAACAATAGACAGGTGTGTTAATATTTCTTTTTTAACAATAGCTTACTGTATACAGTAACTTTAAAATATTAAAAAGTATCAAGAGAAGCAAAAGTAGAAATTGAACCACCAAAGTCTCCTTAGTTCTAGACTGGGGAAGGAGATAGGTAAGGGTCTGTGGATCTTAATCGTTTCCTGTGACATTCTGCTTTGTTTTGGATACTGTGGAACCATTATTGCTTTTTTGATCAGCCTTCTGAGAAGAAATTCTGTACTTGATGTAATATAGTCATTATAAATAGAAGTTCTGTCCATCTTTGATACTGGATGTGCATTAAAGAAGATTGATTCCCCAAGGGTGAAAAGAAAACAATGTCCCAATTCTCCCTTAAATTCTGCATCTGCTGCACTGGCAAAATAAAGTAAACAACACATTCCAGATGCACGTATAGCAAAAACAATCTCCGTGAAGGAAGAGGTAGACTATTTTCATCAGGGTCTGAAGATACAGAGTAATTGATCTACTGATAGAAATGAGAGGCAATCGAACTAATAAAAATGTTGATATAAGGCTGCTACAACTCTCAGAAGTTAGCTTGTGGGTCACATGAGTTCATAGTATTCAGTTTAGATATCGAGTTAAATCTAAATTCATGCCAGCCTTTTGATCTTTAATGTTCCACAAATATTTAAATTGTTCCAGGGACCAACCCTGCTATCTGCTGGAATGTTTCTTAGAGCTGGTACCTTGTAATAGTCCCTGACTCTTCTTTGTAGGCTTCGGATTAAATAACAGTGTTAAAAATTTGGGATTATTAAGTCCAGTTTTGATTCTAGGATATGAAAGAGGATAGAAACCAAGAGAAATGGAACAGAGAATCTTGTGTTATATCTAAGATCCATATTTTAAAAACCCCTTAAAATATAACTTTCACTGTGATGAAAACTTTCTATAGTTCTGAAGCAAAGAGCAATTTCAGTCTTTCTTTATGATTGGTTGCCCTATTTTTTGTAGTTCCCCTCCTCTCACGGCAACAGTGTATTTTTATTAGTAAAACACAAAAAACTGGCTGTGCAGTTTGGGGGCAAGGCAAGCTCTAAACTATGGGAAATAAGTAGATTAAATCACTATAGGCCTTGCCATCTTTGAAACCAAATATATATTAAAAAGGCCAAATGTTTCAATTTCATTTCTCTGGGATGTCAACGGTGGGTTGCACATTTCGTTACCACTGGTTCACCATGCGGGCAGGTGAGCGCCTTCACCACATGCACGACTTCTACACATGCATCTGGCCTCAAAAACGTGACTAAATAGGACAGCATAGAGTAGGGGCAGGCCCATCCATGATTTCCGTTACCAGTTTGGGCGAACCGGTCCGAACCAGCTAAATACCACCTCTGATAGCATTGCTACCATATCCTTCTGTTCCTTGGGGGGCAGCCTCCAAAGTTTCCTGCCCAGCATTTATGTAGTGATCAGCAGCAGAAGTATTGGATGATATATGAACATCAGGACAAAGAAGTATCAACAAGTATCTTTTGATGTAAAAAGGGTCTTCAGGGCATATCTATATCTATAAATAAGAAAGTCAAAACATACCTCTGTTTCATTGATTCCAACTACTATGAAAAGAGCAGCATACTGTCTATAGACTAACTTAAAATCCTTGTACTCAAGAAAGGAGCACTAAAGGGAAACAAAGTAAAATATGTAAATTAAAATAAAATATTTAGATTTGTAAATGTGTATTAGCAATAATAATTGGTCCAATATCTTATTTCATCACAAGAATATATAATTTATGCTTGCTGAATTTGCACAACATGCTAATATAAAATCAAATGAACTACACAATTATTCAGTGTGATGAGTGAATTTAGTGACTCTTAGAGTCAAATTATATATCGGAGGCCACAACTTGTATTCAAACTCAGATATAGAAAACGATGAAAAAAGGATGCAGTGAAGTTCAATAAGACAACTTGGATTGTTCCCTTCCTGCATTATGTCAGTAAAAAAAAAATCCTCATTTTTTACATAAATATGAATAAAATGTTGATCGTTTCTCGGTCACATTTAATAAAACAATTAAAACTAAAAAGACATGTGGATTTCTGAATCATTTAATAACAATTATTTTTATCTGTGTCCAAATAGATCGCTCATTCATATTTTGTGCATACCTCTAAAACTTAAATCAGGACTAATCTGATCATGGCTTATGCTCTGGTCTAAATATTTTTACAAGCTTCAGCTCATTATTGAATGGTTTCTGATTGTCCTAACTAATTGTGGTATTTTACACATTTTGTATGTATAAATAAAGCCAATCAGCCAGAGGTGCAGCTGAATTACATAAAATTTGGCCTTCAAACATCTGTTAAAGACAATGACAAATATATAAAAAATGTACTTCCATAAAAACTACATTAACATTTATAGCATTTTGGGAACTCTGGTCCAATTCATCAGATGCATGAAATGTCACAGTTACGTACTTGCTCCTTTGTACGAGAAAGGCACTGCTTGATTACTTCAGCTTCCAGAACTGTCCGCTTATGAAGGTCCATGTATTCATAGTAACGAGAAAGCCTTGTTTGGCCTTGTTTATTCACCATCAGGAAAAATTTGATCATGGCGCTTCAATCTAAATATCTTGAAAGAGAAATCAGAAACTCAGATTTATCAGCACTGTCAGAAATGACCTATTAAGAACAAACAATGAATTGGGAACGAAGTGTTACAGTCCACACAGTAAGGGCCAAGTAATTAGGCTGTGGAATGTACTCCAAGTTAGTAGATGACATGTGAAGAAGACCTAGAAAAGCTGGAGTTTTAGATAAGCCAGGTTTCAAATAACATTATCTCTTAAATGCATGACTAGCAAATTAATTATAACAAATATTTTCCAACATGAAACCTTTTTCCTTCAGTAGATGGCCAGCAAAGAGATATGGCTAGCAAGCTCAGAGAAGAAATTGCATCATCAACATTACTATGAAAGATTAGTATGCTACAGAAAATTGAAGGACTAGAAATAAGAATTATGAGAAATAATTTTATTAAAGATTCATCAGAAAAAGTAAAGACTAATACAAGCTACAAAAAATAAAAAAGAAAAAAAGAAAAGAAAAAATAGAAAGTATGCAAAAGAAAAAAGAAAAGAAAAAGATACAGTATGTAAGAAGCAAACTTCCTCTTCATCATCAGTATAAACAATTTTATATCTCTTAAATACTACAAATGCTCTCTTCTTCCCAATACTCATGTCTTAACTATAAACAAAATACAAATGGTGTATCATTCATTCCTTAACAGCAAATGTTCATTAAAGGTTATCAGAGACCACTACATATCTATTTTAACCTTGATCAACTCTATATATCTTCCCTGAACTTTTAACAATCTTAATTTTTAATCCTTCAAATAATGTCCTATAATTTAATTTGTTTTTATTTTTTATTTGTTCCTTCTCAGAGAATCCTTCAAAACTTTAGCAGATCTCTTCTGTACTTCAGTGAAAAAGGTTATCCAAACCACTCTTTTAGTTTGATATTTGTATGTCATCTTTAAGTATTACAATACCAGCCAGTTTCATTTGTATGCCCAGCATACATCTTTTTTCGTATTATTCTTATAACTTATCATATTTAAACACACATTCAAATCAATTTGTCTCATTATATATAGCTTGTTCATGTTCTATGACATCATTAATACACCACCTATCTATGGTGTCAGATATTCTTAAAATTAATTTCTGAGTCCATTATTCAAAAATACCCTTTCACACAGACACTGTTAAAGTATTGTACTCCATTCTTTGTTAACAAGTCAAATTGAAGTATTCTTCTCCTTTAATTGTAGTGTTTAATTTCTTCTAGTTCCCTCTAGCACTCAACTTTCAAAGTACCATTCTATCATGTTTTTTCCTCCAAGAACCCAACAATGACAGTTTCCACAAAAAGGATTTTAAAATTAATTTCAATGTTTGTATTCCAAATCCATCTGGGCTCTTCGTCTATTTTTAAACTTTGAGAATCAATGCTCTAAACTGTCTTTTGCTATTTATTCCAAAAATTAATATTTTTTGAATCCTTAAAGTCAACACATTACTGACATGGAAAAAAATTAGGCCAGCTCTTGAAATGACCTGAAAATATCTAAGTGCTTTCGATGCCACTTTTATCCAATTTCTACTTTGGGGTAATGGAGTAAACATTACCCAGGTCTAATTTACTGGGAGCTTTATCTGTTGGAGTCATCACCCAGCTCAGACTGAAAGTAAGAAAAGGATGTCACAACATCAGGTTTCTGACACTAAACTGAAATTACGGTAATCATCAGGAGCATGCAGAATTTGAATCGGGACCCTTACCAGATAAAGAAAAATAGATTGCACAAATCAATTAACTCACATATTATTGAAAAAGAAACACTGTATATAAAACTAAGATTAAAAACAGAGTCACAATACAAAGTACTAGCATGTTAATTGAAAAGCCTGGCTTGGGTAAAGGAAAAATACAACTTGGTTCTCTCTAATATTTCTACAAACGGGGCATCTCAACTGAGAATGGACTTTTTCTTGTGTCTATCCTTTTTGATTCCTTTTGGCAGGTTTATCTGAAGGACTCCAAAGGATGACTTTTTGCTGTTCAGGGAGATACACTTTACCCAGCTTGATTTTAAAACTCCAATTTTGTCCTGGAAGATCAGTTAAGCAAGGGTTAAAGATTTTAGCCAGGGAATAAGATGCATTGTTTAGACTACTGACCACAACCTAAGTAATTTTATCATGAACAATCTCTGGTATGTAAGGAATGAACGCTCCAGAACTCAGACTCCCTGACTGGTAGAGTCCTATTCTAATCAACATTTAGAGACAGTTGAATCAGCCAATGCAGAGCTATGAAAAAATACCGCATTAATCAGCAGCAATAAACAGCCATTGTGGATAATCAATAAGGATCATCAAGCCAACTCATGGTGACTTTCTGGACAAATCTTTATCATTTTATTTTAGTTATAACTGATAACTCTTCAAGTTCCAGTAATTATTTTCATCTATCCAACCACCTTATGCATTGCCTTCTCTCTTCATTTCCTTAAGCTAGAAGCTTACACCTTAAACCAGTATTTCTCAATTTTGGTAGCTTTAAGTGGTTTGAACTTCAACTCCTAGTACTCCCCAGCCAGCTGGCTGGGAAATTCTGGGAGTTGAAATCCACATCTCTTAAAGCTGTCAAGATTGAGGAAACTGCCTTAAACACTGCACACACACACACATACTATTCTTCTACACTCAGAATTCTTGGATTGCATTTGTATATGCTACTCCATAAATCATGATTTACAAAGCATAATATGGTAAATCATACTATGATTTCTTTAGCTTTTACTTAGAATCATGATTTGTAAATCATGATTTATGGTTTAGTGCTTTATGTACATGCAGCCTGGTCCAATGGTCTAGCTTGTCCCTTTATTATGGATTAGCTTTGCTTTTATAATTTTTAATTATTTTATATAATTATATAATGGTTTTAACAAATGATTTCCTTTTTTACTGATTTTATTGGACTTTTGTATACCACCCAGATACACTTTCCAGAGATAGGCAGCTGTATAAATTTGAGTAGTAAGTAAGTAAGTAAGTAAGTAAGTAAGTAAATAAATAAATAAATAAATAAATAAATACATCTCTCCTTCTGTTTTAAAAATAACTTGTTCTTCATCTCTAGATTCAAAATCAATACCTATATGCAACAGTCATTTATACATCTCATTATACATATAACACACAACCTTCCAGATTCTATGGAGGCAAATGTTCATTTGGATCTTTTTACTGTAATGATGGTCAAATCCCTGACCTGCTATGCTTGCTACAGTGGAATCAACATTTTCACAGGATGAAAATGGGCAAGGGGAAAGCTACTTCAGGAACTGGGCCCAATCATGGCATTTTCTGTCTGTGAACATCTACTGCCAGAATTCTCTGGTAACATTGCAATTACAAAGAATTTGAGAAGTTGAAATTCATAACTCTGGGAAGTTGCTGCATATATAAAGATTTGATTTAATTTGATTTGTATAGAAAATGCTATTCTCCAGACAGCTATTTCCAAATATTGTTTTACTAGACATGTACCCTTTCAAGTGGAAAACACTCTTTTGCCTATGAGTATGAACATGTTTCCTTCTCTGTATTATGTAAGGAGAATTTCTCAACTATCAATGTATAAAATAATAATAAAAACACATTAAAGGAAAGCTAGAAATCTGTCTGATGTGTAAAAGTGGAACACAACTTACATCTTTATAAATCTTTAGCTACAGTAAGTATTGAATCTTGAGTAAGTCCCATATATTTTCATTCTGACACTTTGGCACCCTTTATCTGATTATCTGTATGCTATGTAGAAGTATAGCAAGTGTTAATTCACATTGAAAAAAATAATTGCTTTAAAGAAATATATCCATTGCATATGAAGGTATTATTCACACACCACCTGTAATCACCCCAAGAATTCTGGTGTATGTAGAGAAGTTAAATTTTCCAAGACCAGGGAATAGCACTGTAGAGTTGTTGTTATTATTCATTCTGCATAAATGAATGTTCAATTACATAAATATATGCTCAAATTTTCCTGCTCCACCACCTTTTCTTGTCAAACTGGCTTTACAGGTTCTGCAAATTTCAGAGCCTAATTTCTGATGTTACAACTTGCCCTCCTACAGTATAAATGGTAGGGTTTTTGATGGTTTTTTTTTTAATGTGAAGCTATATCCAACAGTATGGATACAGTGGAATTGAGACTTTGCTAAAACACATTTCCGCTTCCCCGGTAAATCCAAAATTTATTCCAGAAGTTTGGAAAAATTTCTGAAATGGTTTTGGGTGTGTGCAGATTAATGAAGGAAGCAAAGGGTAAAGGAGAGATAGTCCCATTGTGCAAGCAGAGACCTGCTTGAATTTTTTCAAGTTTCACAAACTAATGAATCAGTGCTTATCTATATAACTATATATCTCTACATTTAAAAATACAATCTGTGTCTCAGGAATGTGCTACTTTTCAAACAGTTTCCTTCAGGATTAAATCTGACTAGCATAAAGTAAAATCAATTTCATCATGTCAGTGATTTGTACTGGCCAGAGAAACCTCTACTTTGAAATGAATTAATATGTTCTTGTTTATTTCATTTGATATAACTCCAATCTGTTTTGATCAAATGCAGCAAATTGTTGGTGAGTAACGCCAAGGTAGGGTTGTAAAGAGTGTTAATTCTCACTGGTCATCAAAAGTTACTGCACAAACTATGGACCCATGCTCTCCCATGAAGGTTTAGAATAAAAAATGCTATTGATGATGTACAGCACAAGTGCAACACAGAACTGGAAACAAAATACTATGGCAAACGATCAAGTATTGAAGTTGCAAAAGTACACACTTCTTCTGTCTGTGTGTGTTGCCTTCAAGTCAATATTGACTCCTGGCAACCGATAAGTTCCAGCAATTTTTTGTGAGTATATTTGCACACTGATCTGCATAGTGGGCAGCTACAATAATAAGATCTAAGAACATAGGGGTAATATATTGTACTTCTACTCATGTAGAGGTATATTAGGATAGTGAAGAAGAATTCCTACATTTTTTCCTACAACTTCATAAGATATAGAAACTATAGTTACTATAATGTGCCAGATTTACACTGAAGTTTTTTATTTTCTATCCTTTGCCTAATTCTGATGTTACGGATTGATGAATAGTGGATTTCTTCATTGGGACCTTATTTCTATGAAACATTGCCACTATGCAAACTAACTATGTTGCTCTTATCTACACATGCAGGCATAGTTCTTGTTCTAAATGCAAAATGTAATTATGAACTTGGTTAGGGATATCTGAATGTCCTATTGATTTCATCTTAAAAAATGCTTTGTTTACTGTCATGCACATGATTGCATGATTTATTTATCCTGTCATCCATAGTCCATAGATGAGCAAAGGTAACATAAGTTTTTTTCTTATCAATATGGAAGTAAGATTTTCTACCTTCTCCTAACACAAATATTGTATTAGCATCAGATGTGAGGCTTCAGGCACAACTGTAGTGATGATAGCAGGGCTGCAATTACCACCTCTTTTGGCTAGTTTTAGTTGATGTGGTCATGCTCCTTACTCTCAGGTCATTATTAACTTCCTTGCATCTTCCTTCTATTTTGATTGCTAACATGGCATGGCATGACACAAGTGAGCAAGACTAAACTCACTAGAGAAAACCATAGATTAGAATCTCCCTTTGTGTTTTCTTTAGTGAATATGGTGAAGTTATGTTAGATC